TAATTAAAAGTTTCTTTTCAGTCCGCAGGAGGAATCAAGGCTGTGAAAAGACCAATGCCTGGCAAAGAATGTCCTGGAGCTACTTTATTAATTAGCATGCACTCATTTATGCCAGAAAATAAGCACTATCATATAATTTAGATATCGTCATCATCATCATCATCCTCTTATAGAAGGGAACTGAGGAGGAACTGCCACCTCCATTGCTGACTTCCTAATGAGAACGAAGCCTCAGGCATGCTTTGGGCTCCTTGGCTCACCACCTGTTTTCAAGGGGTCACTTTGGGTGTGCAGAGAAATATCCTTTGGTGCATTAGGGTCTTCTCCATTCATCTTCATGAGTTCCCTTACCCCAATACCAATGGGTGCATATGAAGGTTACATGCATAGAGAAGGGGATCCTGGTCAAACACACTGCCAGCCCCAAACTTGGCCATGCAGCACCTTACAAATTATCCCTAAAGGAATGTGGCCCTTGAAGATTAAAAAAAAAATGCCCTACCTTAGCTTCTACCTCCTCCTCCTCTCAGTTCCTTATGTAACTCAAAGCTCTGGCTGCTGCCTTATCTAGAACCTTACCACAGTTAATGCTTGAAAAACAGTGTGGAAACCCTTCAGCTTCCCAGGACCCTTTGTGAATGACTTCAAAGCTGACATTCTTGAACAAAGAATGTCAAGGGCAGATTTCAATGCAAAATAGCCAAAAACAATTGAACAAGTTGTGCCCCTTGCAAAGGGACAAGGGATTTTTATTAGACTGCATCTGTTAATCAGTTCATCAATGTAAGAATGTCCATGTTACCATCCAACAAATGCTTTATGAATTAATACCATTCAGGTAATTATCACTTGTGTACATCTTGAATTTCAGTTACCCAACTTCCTCACGGCTACATTGGGATTTGAATCCCAGTCGTCAGAATCCAGTGTACTGTCCACTATCATGTTTTCAGCATAGGTAGAGGAAAATCTGATATTTGTGTTATTGTTGATATATCCTAAATAAAAACCTTTGAAACCAAAGCACTTTATTTCTGGGCAGTAGGAGAAAGTCATTGTATCAAACATGACAAGCACATTTTTACCACCAGCTAACCCCTTGCATTCATCTGTCATTTGTGTTCTCCTTCTAGTGGGAAAAATCTGGAACTTTATATGGACACTTCCACAGTAGATGTTTACTCTGAAATTTCCATTTTTTGACTTGCCACTTTTTATGGGTCATCTACATGATGTCACTATCAAAATTTCATTCTCCAGTTTTCATTAGAAGCACAAAAATTCTGACTTTTTCTTTTCAGGAAAGAACTGAGTGCCATCTCAGCAGGTGTAACTCAGCATCTTTCTGAAATGGTATACCACAGAAGTGTGCAGTCTTGTTCCATGCAGTTGAACCCCGTTTTGTCTCTCAACTTCAGTACATCTTTACAATCACCTTTCTGATCTTCATCATTTTAACAGTCTATTTTTTTAAAATGATTAGGATTTGCACACTTTTGCCCATTTTGTAACTTTTTTATTTTTGCAAACACACAAAACAACAACATATAGCCACACAGAAATGATCAGAGATATACAGAATTGGTCTTGAGAATATTACTAATAATATATGTGTATGCATGTACACCCATATGTATGCACATAAATAGTCAGAGTTCCTGTGCCACATTCCTAATATAGGTTGCCCAAATGTCAAAATGAATGTTGTTGTCAATAGTATATTCTCTCAAACGTGAGGTCTTCAGTTCATTGCTCGGTTAAGGGTGAATTTGTCTTTCCATCCCCATATTATGAGCCTCTTAGCTTCCATGAGGGCTTGTACAGTCCACCTGCGGTGTCCAGAGAAGACTTCCAGGAGGAGGGAATGTAATTCAGCAATACATGGACATCGTTAAACAGGAATGACATATTTAGGACAGCAATGATGTGTCTAACAACTTCTGTCCAGAAGGGGATCACCACTGTGCATTTATTTCCAAATCATGTACACGAATTATGCTTCTGCTGTCCCACATCACCAACATTAAAGGGTGGTAAGTTTTTTCTGAAGCATGTGCTATGTAGCCCAATATGCCCAAAAGAACAGCATTTGCATATAAGGTACAGTTTCAGGTCAGGGATATGGCTTCTAGGTTGTAGCTGGTATGGTTGGATGTGGCATTCTAATTTTCTACTCCTCTCTTCTTTGAGTGTCTGGATGTCAAGATGGCTGTATAGTAAGAGTCTTTTGTAAATAAACATTGTTGGCTTGGTTGCCTTGTACTGCTAGCCAAGTCTTCCAATAATGTTGGGCATTCCAAGGCAGTGAATGCTGCTGGGCCATATAGTAAATAGAACGTATGTTTTATTTGAAAGTGTTGCCAATGTGTGTTTTGGGGCAGTTGGTACGTCCTCTGTAAATCCCTGAAGAAAAGGAATTCACATCTTTGTCTATTGACGCATCTAAAGTGAAGATACCTCTCCCAATCCATTGAGAGGATACCTCCAGAGGAAAGGTTGTCCAGGAATCTTCAGATTTAGATTCCATCAGATTCTTAGCTTGGCATGTGAAAATTGGTTCAAAGCACATTTGTTGGGCCAACATCTGCCATGTCTTTCTGGCCACCTGAATGGAGGCTGGGGCCTTTAAGGAATAATCTTTCTTCTCCTCTCAATTTTATTCTGACAACAACCTTATGAGGCTCATTAGGCTGAAAATCAGTGACTGGCCCAAAGTCACCCAGTGAGTTCTGTGGCCAAATGAAGACATATGGGCTGTACACACAGATAAGATGCACGTGGGCAAGAGGATCATAGCCACTCCACCCAGCAGTAGCTGAGCTGGGGCTAGCTAGCCTGTGTTGGCTTGCAATCCCTCTCACACATTCTTTCAAGAAGGGAAGGAGGTCACCTGGCCCCTTCTTATGATATCAACTACTAGGGACCAGAAGAGATGGCTGAAGACCTCAAGATATCCCTAATATATTGCACATTTTTGTGGATTGTAGTACTTCCAGATAGTGGTTGTGAAATATCCTGCTCTCATTCACATTTTTTTGAGAGGGGATGCAGCAGGCATTTTCATCTTTCATTGGTTACTGTTCCATGTTTTCTACCTGCTTCCTCTGTCATGGAAGGTTCCTTAAGCATTGTGAAGCTCTTCTATCTTTTTCTCCTCAATTAGACTTTTTCTGGTAAGAAAAAGGGTAAATGCAGTGATGAAACACAAGAGGGCTACAAACTGCAAAACTGTCCTATGGAGTTCCTCTCAAATTCCATGAATCAGACAGTACAATGGTTTAATAAAAGCCTTGTCCAGAACCACACAGATTTCCATTAAGGAGAGAAAAACTGAGCAGCCTCACAATGTTTTCAGACTGATTGGAAGCACTAGGTGCTGTTCATCCAGAAGTGCACAAGCTGAGCTAAAAACAAATTCAAATAAAAACAAAAGAAAATTCTGTCAGCTTCATTCAGTTTTAAATGGGTCAATTATCACTTGCTGAATTATAATATCAAATTCTTGCAAACACTCTGTATTAATTAATCTGGAATAAGCCACTACATCTGACAATGTATTCGCTCACTAATGAAAACTTGGATAAATTTAAATCTACACTTAAGAATACAATGCAGAAGTAGAAAAATCCACTCTGTTCTATCTAAAAGGAGTGACATAAAATACTGAAGATGTCCAGTTAAATGACCTTGAGAATGTTATTTTTGTGCTCCAGTTGTTGTTATAAGGCAGCCTTCTCCAATCCGGTGTCTTCTATAATAGCTGGATTACAATTCTCACTTGTACAACATGCTGGGAGTTGTAGTCCAATACATCCATAGGGCACCAAGTTTAGGAAGACTTTTATATATTACATTTATAGCCCACCTTTCCTCCCAAATGCCCAAAGTCATATACACGACTCTTCTCCCTCTTCACAACAACCCCTTTTATTTTTTAGATGTCTATCCCGTCTTTAAAAAAAAAAAAAGAAGGATCCAAAGTGGCTTGCACCATTCTCCATCTGCTGTTCTCAATCTTAGCCCAACAACCCTGTGAGGTAGGTTAGGCACAGCATTAGAATCTGGCCCAAAGTCACCCAGTAAGCTTCATGGCCAAGTGGAGATTAGAACCTGAGTCTCCCCAGTCCCGGCCCACTATAATCATTGCACTATACCGCCACCATCACCGCCACCATCACCACCATCATCTATAAGGTATCCTTGCTATTTTAAAACCAATCTACTTATATACGCTTTCGGGCTCGATTCATTACTTGTCTACTGCCAGAACCACTCCAGCCCACAACAATCAACCCACCTTCGACTCTCGGCGCTTGGCTACTATCGAGGCAGAGGCGCAGCAGGCGGGCCAACGCCGATTCTCAGGCACTGATTGGTGCAGGCAGGCCAGCTCCGCCCCCTGGCGCACGCGCAGTGCTCTCCCCTTTCTCTTTCGATGCCCCTCCCTATTCTGCGCTTCCTTTCCCTCCTCCTGCTGTTCGCTTGACTGCAAGCGAGCCGCTGTTGTTGTCAGTACGTTTCGGAGCCCGCCGGGGAGAGAGGAGGCGCGAGCACGGTCCGTTGGGCGCGCGAGCCACAGGACCTGAAGGCAAGCGGCGCGAGCCCACGGATCGACGAACCGTCAGCTGGTCTGGTTGAGGCGCTTGTTGGCTTGCTTCCGCCGCCTGCTCCGAGGCGCTGAGGAGGCCACTCTGCGGATCCCAGCCCGTGTGGTAGTAGAGAGCGCGGTCGCTGAGGAGAAGCCGCTGCCGCTGTCCATGCTGGGAGCGGCGGGAGAAAAGCCGAGGGCCGCGGCTGAGGGAAAGGCTGTCGTTGCCAGGAGTAAGTTACCGCGGGCGGGGTGAGCGCTGGGCAGCGACACGGAGTCGGGGTTTGGCCTGCCCGCCGGAGCCGCGAAGCTTTCTCCCGGTAGCCTCGAGGGGCAGGTGCCGGTAAGGACGGGTGCAGATATTTTCGAGGGGAGGGGAAGACGAGCTCTGGAAGCTCTCGCCGTCATCTCTGATTAGGCCAAAGCCCGCGGTGCTGGGAAGAAGCTGCATCCATGCCTGTTCTCCGTGTGTGCGTTCGACTGTGTGTGCGCCTGTAACCATCATATGTATACACACCCCACTTTCGTTGCCTATTTGCGGCGGATTGGGGGACGGGTGTGTGGGGGGAGAATGAATGAATGAATGAATGGTGTGTGTTAGTGTGAGTGTGATGATCTCGGGCGTACCGTGATCGGGCGGAATCCGTGTGTGAGAGAGAACGGGATAGACTGTGTTTAATATTTTTAAGAGCACGCTTAATGATGCTGCGTGTGGGAGGAGGGTGAATTTGAGTTCACCTCTTCTTGTCCCTTTTCCATCTCTAGCGCCTTTTCTCTCCCCCATTTCTCCATCCCCCCACCACCAATCCCCCGCAGTCTGAGGGAAGGAAGTAGCTTTCTTGATCTCCCCACAGCTATATATTCATCCAGCTTAAGTGGCAGTGGCTAAGAAGTTCATACATCTGAGCTGCAGAGCTGTTTGGGAATGACACTGCATCTTATTTCTGCAAGCCAGATACAGAGCCAACAGGTTTGTCCAGAGAAAGCTTAGCTGTCTTTTCTTTCCTTCTGCTAGTGCAGAATGCTTCTTTCACAAAGCGAAGAACCTGGTAACTTGCCTTCCGTGGAAGTGCTTGCATAGGGTTATCATGCCAAAAACACATTATTGTATTGATTATCTCTTTGGCAAACAGCCATTTTTCTAAGCTGTATTCATGCTTTATGCCAGCTTCTCATACAGATGCCAAATCTGTGGAGCATTTTTTTTTTTTTGGTTAATATCTCAAGTCCCACTAACATTGTAGATTAAAAATGCCTTTTTAAAAACTGCTGACAGTGATTCTAGTACTGACCAGTTTAAAGGAAAACTTCTGCATAGACTAGTATGCTAGAAATTCAGCTTGATTTAGTCTCACTAGGTTCCTTTACCAATATATGAAGTCATATGAATGATATACATATGATTGTTTTATTGCTTGTCTGCATCCTTGAAATACTCTTGAAGGAGAAACTTCGTATAGCTTACATTTTGAGGTTTAATCAGCTATATCTCCTTTAGGGATTGCATATATTTCATTTTCCCTTCTGGTAGTTAGATCTGTAACTATGACTTTGCTACAGTTTCCTGGTATGAATGTGAATTCTTTTTAAATGATGTGAATCAAGATCTGTTTAAAGCCTGCCCTCTAGTGCAGGCAATTCTACTCATTTACCTTTTTTTTTAAATGTTCTGGAGTAGAAAAGTAGGAAAAGAAGGAAAGAACTTGGCAGAGAATATTTATTTTTCAATCTCTAGAAAAGTTTTGGATATATTCACTAAGCAATGCACTGAATATTTGTTGAAAAAAAAATGCCCCTAATCTTGCTGCCATAAATCTGTTCTCCAACCCCTTTGGACACTTGAACATAGATATGGATGGTATGCTGTTTCTCACATAGATCAATTTTCACAAAATGTGTATTGTTTTTTGTGGTACTCAAAGTATCTAAAGAGAATAAATATAACTGAATAATAGCACTTAGGAGCATTTTGTGCACTGTTTCTGTGATTCTCACACACACACACACACACATATATATATACTGGAAAAATTGGAACAGATAACTGTAGAAATGAAATCTAGATGGCTAAAGGAATTGCTTTTGTCCTCCTTAACTATATAGCCTAATATCACTATTACTCCAGATTTTTTTCTAAACAGACCATTTAGAACTAGAATAAACTTGATAAACAGGAACCTTTACTGCCATTAGATAGTAACTAAGGGTATGATTCTGTGCATTGTACAGAAAAAATGCCTACAACTCCCAGCATCCTAAAGTAAGCATAGCTAGCTGAGTTGTAGGACTTTTTCCAGTATGTATGTATGTATTTAAAGCTTTTATATCCTGCCCTTTACAGTGTAAGCCTGTATAAACCTGTAGAGGCTTGCACCCTTAGTGATATAACATTTTCTCAATTAATTTACTGCATGGGATGCAAAATAAGCTATTGCTCATATCGTTAATGGAAAAATAAAGGTTACAGTAGTATATCTCTTTAATTTAGCCTTTCCAGAATGCTCAAAGAGCTCTTTCTAACAAGGTGCACTGTTATCCAGTAGTCTCATAAGTCCTCTGTTTTTCTGCAATGAAATAATTTAATTCTGTAGTCTGCACTTCCAGTCTTCTGCCAATGCCCCAGAAGCATTTTCTGCATGTATTCCCTTGCATCATTGCTCTGTTCCATGATCTTAGATGATGTCACATATCTTTTGTGTCCTTTTCCAAAGAAATGCACAGGAGAGAGATTCATATTCTCTTGCTCCTCCCTGCCAGATTTATTTTGCAGCGTTATTTCCCACTGTATTGTCTCTGCTTGTACTGCATTGTAATTTGGAGCTAGGTACTTTGGATATTAGAGAGGAGATTCTGTAGGGCAGATCACTTGTCTTCTCTCCTTTCTATGTAATAATGTTGAGATGTAAGTGCACAATAATTGAATACCTAAGCAAGATTAAGAAGTTGGAGTATATAATGTTTCTGATGCATACATATAGGTAATAGTTTTGTGTATAATACTTAGGGTGCTTAATAATGTTTCTCACATAATCCTTTTATATATTTGTATTAACAAATCAAATGGTGTAAAACCTTTCAAGAAGCCTGCAGTAGCCTGTGGTAAATTTCTAAGCATGATAACATGTTCTTTTCCCAAACTTCTGTGCTCATGCTTGACTTCTATGTGTACTGTTATAATACAGTGTTTTATTTTCCCTACTGGTAAACCCAGCACTTTGCTAGGATGTTCTGTGTTTTCTCCCATTCATTCTCCTAATTACAAAAGAGAATAATACTCTAAATAGCTGGTTTAAATATTTGATTTTATTGGTGCATTAATTCAATTTATAGGAGATAGAGTACAGGTGAAAATAGCCTTTCAGTGGGATATGTCTTGTCTAAAACATCAATTCAGTCTGAATTGAAGCCATTTGGTATAGATTACGAGACTTTTGGTATGAATGAACAGGTTCTGAAGTAATTTTTATGAGTTGGGAACAGTAAACTAGAGAATGATAATAGTTGCTATGATCTTTTGTGTTTGTTTGATACTGTACCTAGAAAATGTCACAACAAAATGTTACTCTAATAGGAAATCTGAGCACTGAGTTTTTCATTTAAAGCAGAACAATGCTTTTAAGGCATAGATATTTAGCCATAATTGGGTCGGGACCAAATGGCCCTTCACCAGCTGATGACATTATTGGGGCATAGCCATGCCCAGTGATGACATCACTGAACATATTTTTGCATTCTCTGTGCTTTAAGCACAGAGGAACTTAGCCAGTTCTGGAAGAAACAGCTGCACCAGCCAGCACCAGTCAAGTCCCTAACTTTGCATGGCATATGATTTTCTCTTGGGACACTATGGAAAGGTTTGGCTAGCTGCATCTCCACTGTTATTTATGATCAGTGATAACAGCATGCAGCAGGGCCTTGAGTTTAAGATCTATCTCCTGAAGGAAAATGTGCTCTTGAATCAGGTAATAGCATAGGAGAAAGACCAGGAAAACAGCACAGCAGAAGAGAGAAACTTCATTCCCAACACCACAGTCTTGATCTGAGTGGCTTCCCCACCCGGCCCCTTCATAGCTACCATTACATTTTAAGCTTGGAAGTTTCTGGCCATGGATTTCCACCATTACATTTGGTATGACCTCTACTTCTTACTGAAATATGGAAAAAAGGGGAGAACGTGCTGTGCATGACAGGCTGACAAAGCCCGCCACATACATCTTGAAGAAATTATCCATCCTGTGTTTTGTTGTTTTCAGCAGATCAGTCAGTTTGTCATGGTGAGAGACATATTCAGACTTTATTCTAGATTCACTGAAGTGGTGGTGGGGGAAGAGAAAAATAATAGATCAGTTCTTGAAGTAGTTTGACTAATGTGATTACTAAGGAAATTGTCACCACAGGACTGAGAAATTGTGTTCCTAAATACAGATTTATAAATAAGTCCACCAAAGTTTACCTCACAATTTACTGGCTTCCTATCACGTAAGGATTTTCCATGTAAGGTTGGTGACACAGTCCCCAATGTGTTCAGATTTACTACTGAAGAATGTGACTACTTTATTCCTAAGAAGAAGCAAAAGCAGTCTTGTCTTAGAGCTACAAGCCACAGGCAATTAAGCATGTTGCTTAAAAGGAATCCGGATAATTGAATAAATAATAGGGTAACTGCTACCAGTGGCTAAGGTACAAAATGAATTCACAATGAACTTAGGTAACATACCAAAATGTAACTGGCAAAGGGGTAGATAATACCCAAAGAGAAAATACTGAATTATAGCTCATTCTAAAAATGAAAAGGATTATTTGAGGGATGGTGAGATATCAAACTTTATCATTCAGAATCAAAGTGAACTTAGTTTTTGCTTATCAGTTAATGAGCAAATATATTCTGTAAGGGCTGAACATTAAAAGAATTGATATATAGATGTCTGAAAAATGTGCACAGACTTGATTGGTAAACTCTGAATAGCGAAACACTTTGTCAGTAGCATTTATCAAAATTAATTGTAGCTAACATGAAAGGTTTATACTCTTGTATATTTTGATCATAATGGATTCTTTTAGAAGTCAAGAATGTGATCCCAGTGTTATGAAATACCGGTTAGCATTAACATAGCAACAGAGAGGTAGTATTTTAGAAACTATAAATATCGCCCAATGTGTGGGTCATATTGCTTCTTTGATATGGAAGCACTTTTTCCCTACCAATAACTCTCTAGAAAGTTGTTTGACAGTATCATAGGTGAAGAGCTTTGATATAAAAATTGGTATGTTGTAAAGCTGTACTCATAGTTTTGAGCTCTAAAAATACTCTACTAGTAGTATTTTATTTGGAAATGTACCTTTTGTATCAAGAAAAGAAATGGACTCAAATATCCCTGTACTATAATTATTACTATTTGAGTGCAACCAAACAAACAATCCTAGGTGTACACTTTGTTAAATAAATGTGTTTATCTGCTGTAAGGGAGTTAACAGATAGTGGAAACCCCTCATTATACTGAATTATAAGCAGAGGGCTCAAAGTGAAACTGTAACACTACTGCCCAAACTCTTCTGGGCTAGGGGTGTAGAGAAGAGGGCAAACTGGGAATCTGCAAAAAGTACTACCTCATTTTTTATTATAACCACTGCGGCTTACAATAAAATAAAATATGTAAGAATAGCATAGTTGAAGGGCCACCATTTACCCATTTCTGGCTTAGATTATAGTGGTTTACTTTTGTGTGTTCTAGGGGTGTGTGGTGGTGGTATTTTTGATACAACTAAAAACAAAAGCCACTGGTTAACCTGGTTTCCTTCTGTACATGTATGAGAGGATTGCTCTTAGAAGGAGAAGAATGCATTCTGAAAATGACTGTGTTTTAATTCTGATGTATACAGAATTAAATTATCCTGTTCTGAGCCTTGTTTATCATAGTACAAACTTACTAAAATTATTTTTTATCTAATTTCCTTTCTGGAGGAAAACTGTGCATTGCCTGTTTGACTTTCCAAGAACTTGTTGATGTGAAGCTGCCGGGGGCAGGGTGGGGTGGGCAGAAGCAGTTCCTGGGTTATGAACAAGTTCTGTTCTTGAGAAAATGGAAATTTGTCTTTAAATTGAATTTGTAGGTAAGGCAGATCATGTACAGTTGACCCTCCACATTTGCGGGGTTGACCCAGGACCCCATGAAAGTGGAAAAACCATGAATATCTCTAGCTTCATCCCTGCTAACTTAGTAGTGCCTTTTCTTTACACCAAGAGAATGCTGGAGAGATTTCCCTGTTCATATGAGCAGGGCAAGAAGGCCAGTTTTGGAGGTGTCCCTCTCTTCCCTTTTGCTTCCTCTCTATGGTGATGCTTTGGAGGCCTTCCCTCTTTCCCTTTTTGCTTCTTCTCTCTCTATGATGTTGATTTTCCACAGTTTTTAAAAATGAATGGGCTTTATGCAGTTTGTTCTCAAGTATGAGTTGTTTGTAACTCAGACATTTGTAACCTGGGGCTGCCTGTATAGTCATGCCTCTTGCTTCTCTGAGATTCAGAAGTGTTGAAAGGTCTGAAATTCATGATAGTGTGTTAGTCATATAATTGTCAGTAAGTGAACTTGAACATATTTTCCATAGGAAATAAAGGAAGAAGAATGCAAAACTGCCCTCAGAACTGGATATGGAAATACCAGTAGAGAAATCTTCTAAAAGCATGAAGAAAAATTGAAGCTTTATGAACAAAGCATAGAAAAGATGATACCTCTGAAGAGGGCACTGCCAAGGTTGGTAGACTCACATTTAATTTGTTTTTCTATTATTTCACTGCAGTGCTTGTGAAATTTTTCTATAGCTGTTGGGTTTGTACTTTAATTTTACAAAACACACAAACCAAAAATAAGTTTGGAAAAAATGATAAACCATGGTTGAGTGGATGAATGGGTCCACAGGAAACCTTGGGCTTGTGTATTCCTCCCTTCTTCCTCCCAAGTGGGCATTTGGTGGGATTCAGGAGCTTTCCCTTTTGTTTTAGATTAATGACAGGCTCTTATGGCATTTGAACCTGAAAAACTGTGGTTAACTAATTCGTTTGAAACAAGCCAACTTGTTTCAACTAATCATAGCTAAGGTTGTATAGAGTTGTTGTTGTTGTTGTCTATTTATTTATTTCATTTCTATATTTCCCCACAGCCAAAGTTCTCTGGGTGGTTTACAACAGTCCATAGAACAGATTATAAAAACAATAAAATATATAAAATCAGAAATACATTAAAAGTTTAAAACAGTTAAAACCAAATAATAACAAAGAAAGACTTGCTAAAACACCTGGGATGGGCAATCTCCACAAGCCCCTGTAAATCTAGATAAGTCTTTAAAAGCTTTGGCATAGAGGGCTGACTTAACTTGGTGCTGAAAAGATGGCATATTTGGTGCTATTTGGGCTGCAGTGGAGAGTTTGTATCATAAGTTGGTGGTCAGCACAAAGCCCTCCAGAGTCAGCACTTGGAGAAGAACCCTGGAGGTTGAGCATTGTGTCCAAGCAGACTGTGGTTGAGAGATGAATTCCCATAGGTACATGACACATTTAGCAGCAGTTAATCTAAAAAGCAAACTTTTCTAATTTCCTCTTATTTCTCTAATTTCTTCATGACTGCAGCAGAGGAAGACAGCATAGTGTGAACATAAAACTCACTATGGTTCACTCTTATAATGCTGAACCATGGCTTAGTATTGTATCCAAATACAGAATGTGTGTCACAATTGAACACTCCCGTGCATGATTGTCCTGCTTGGTTTTTGTGTCCTTGCTATTTGCACTTAATATACATGTATCCTATCCTGATAGAATTCTGTCTGTCTGTCTGTCTTCCTTCCTTCCTTCCTTCCTTCCTTCCTTCCTTCCTTCCTTCCTTCCTTCCTATTTTTAATCAATATTTACCCCCATGCTAGTAAGAATCATTACATAATTAGGTTAAGGGTACTTAACTTCTCAGAGGTTTGATGGTATGAGATCAAGGAATGTCAACAATCCTAGCAAGATTGGAGTGTGGCACGGTCTTTTTGGCATTGTGGAAGTGTGGTACATATTGTGGAAGTGTAAAGTGATAGAAATACAAGAAGTGTTGTGGTAATACAGCACCATTTGTCAAATGTTCAGAAATGATGATTACGTTTCATGAAATTGTATTTTTAAGGAGAAAGTTTGATAGTCTTGACAAATTGCAATCGTTACAATGATTACAATCACATCAATAGTAATCATTATTAAAAGGAGTCAATACTATTTGTAATAATGATCATGTATTCTAGATGTGAATGAGACTTATGCATGCTGCATGATGGAAAGTCCTCACCTTCAGTATTATTAGAATCCCTCCCAAAACATGCACACTCTGATACTTGTATACTGGGCATGCAGCTTAAAAGTCATAGTTGTGCAATTAAGTTTTACTTTTGCTTATAAATCTTTTCCTGTGTTTAGAAAAATAAATGAGCTCCTTCAAGTTTTGTCAGATGTGTAACTTTTTGGCATAGAAATGTCATTGGTGGTAAAAGTTGATGAGTGCGAATGATATTTTGTTATTTGTGTGTGTTTAGAAGGGGATAAAATTGTGCTGTTTGACATATAAGCGATATTGAATTGGAACACGGGAATAGTATGGATTTACTTGCTTGACCGACTCTTGTGTAATATCATTAAATCTCAGGAGGTAATATCCATTTTAATGCATACAAAAACAATATTGTTTCCAGTCAGATGATACCAGGCAGATGCAATAGAATTATGTACTACCTTCAGACCATTTTTATTTCCAATCTGCAGTATATATTCAAGACACATTCAAGCAAGCCTAAAAACTACACATTGCCCATATTTGTCCCTCAGTAGTTCCACTCAAGACATGCCATTCACATAGGCGATGCATCGGTAGTTTGAGACTTAAGCATATGGATCAAGGATGTAGAGCAGACTAGACAACTTGGTGTCCTCCAGATGCTTTGGACAACAACTTCCAGCAGCCTCATGATCAGTGGTCAAGATGGTGAAGTAAATATTGAGGTGGTGGAATCTACATTAAATAGTATAGAAGGATACAGAAACTCAGTATTACACCATCAGACTACTTGTCTAATCTCCAGATATCTGTGTAACTTTTTTTTACTTCTGTATCAATACCTCCAAGTTTAAATGTATAAAGCCATGTTAAGTATGCAGGTTAGCCAATGTCTGATGTTCTAACCTAATTGGGGAAATTTTGTCATTGATATTAATGGGGTTTAGAATGCACCTTGCTCTGTTAACTTTAATTTGAAGAGCAAGTTATGTTGAGACATAATTACATATAATGTGAATAGCCCTAATTGCAGGAGTGGGGTAGAAAATGGTCTTTTTGAATGGTAAAATGTTGTCAGGAACATAGATCTTTCTCTTGATTACTGCTGATTGGTAAAACTAAACTTGGGAACAGTAATATATTTGAATTTGTTTTACCTTAAATGTTGTATAAGGTCATTGCTACCTAAATACTTTTTCACTGCAGTAAGTAAAACTATACTTATGTACACACTGTCCGATCCTGCTTTCATCAGTTTGATAAAACATCCTACAAACCTCTGTTACATTTGTTTGGAATTGGAATTTCCTTTTCCTATATTCCTTAGTTTGTGCTTGTGCGTATTAAATAATCTTGCTACTTTGGAATGCTATACAAAATTCTTGTACATTTCCAATATGTGTGTTAGTGTCAAATCTGCATTAGTTACTCTTTTTCAAGAAAGCACTTTTTAACTTGATTGTTTCTACCCAAAGATCAGACTTTAGAGAAGCAGAATATTTTTCTGGTCTTCAGTAAATGAATATTCTGTAATACTTTTCTTTCTGACTTTTAGGTGCATTTGGCAGTGAAAATGGGCTGTACATCTACTTCAGATATCCATATATGAGAAGACAGCCATTTCAAAAAGTTTCAACATTACTACTTGGAGCAGTATGGCAGGTTTCAAACGAGGATATGATGGAAAAATTGCTGGATTGTATGATTTGGATAAAACCTTAGGCAGAGGGCATTTTGCTGTGGTCAAACTTGCTAGACATGTGTTTACAGGTGAGAAGGTAGCAGTGAAAGTAATTGACAAAACCAAGCTAGATACTCTAGCCACAGGACATCTTTTTCAGGAAGTTAGATGCATGAAGCTAGTGCAGCATCCCAATATTGTTCGCTTGTATGAAGTTATTGACACCCAGACCAAACTTTACTTAATCTTAGAACTTGGTGATGGAGGAGATATGTTTGATTACATCATGAAACATGAAGAAGGTCTTAATGAAGATCTGGCAAAGAAGTACTTTGCTCAGATTGTCCATGCTATATCCTACTGCCATAAACTGCATGTAGTTCACAGAGACTTGAAGCCAGAGAATGTTGTCTTCTTTGAAAAACAAGGGCTTGTGAAATTGACTGATTTTGGCTTCAGCAACAAGTTTCAGCCTGGAAAGAAACTTACAACAAGTTGTGGATCTCTTGCATATTCTGCTCCAGAAATTCTACTTGGGGATGAATATGATGCACCTGCAGTAGGTAAGTCACTGGAGCACAGCCAGTCTCCTTAATATTGCCAAGGTTCTTCTTTTCATAGAATTAAATATTATGGAATTTTACCACAATAAATTCTGAAGGGATTGTTGTGTATTCCTTTGTTATGCTTGTCTAGTGACATCTAATTCCACAATGCAATTAGAGCAGGGGGGTTTTTTTGCACCCATAGACCCCTGTGCAAAAACAGTCACATCCTCATGGTGTGGAGAACTGTACCACATCCTTCCATTTGCTATCTGTTTTAGAAGCCTGAACAGGTTTCTTGCTACTGGCTTCTCTCATGATATGCATATATGCTAAATGATTTTCTGTATTCACCTTATGTCTTCTCAAGAAAGACATAGATTTTCCCCATAACTGCATGAAAAAAAATTTCAATGGGAAAACATAAATCACAGGAGCAGTGTATTGGATAGCTATACAGGTTATATTGGAGCTATGAATCAACAATTCATGCCTGGATGGGTGTTTTTTCAAGTTGCCTGGATGGATATGTTACTACAGTTTATTTACAGATGTTGGCACTCACATAGTTGTTATGTCGAAATACTTCCTTCATACAGCACAAGCCCTAAAGATGTATTGAGCAAGTTGCTTAATGCAGGCTTATTTCTGACGAGTTAGATGTTAATTTGCTGTCATTAAACATGTTTGCCATAATATAGGAGGTACTTCGAATCTTTTCATGATGTTTATCAGGCCTGAAAACCTGCAGAATGGAGAAGAACTCACAACCTGTTTTTAGTGTTGATTCATGTGCCCATCCAGCAGGCACATTTAAATTGTAGCTGAATTAGTAATAGATTGCAGAAGTTAGCTAAAGAAATAATTCTGTAGTTTGAGCATTTAGGAAGAAGTTGATGGTTGCACTGCTAAAGATTTGATTCATGGAGAACAGAGAGCAGTTCATTTCAATTACTGTGGAGAGAAGCAATTAACTACACTGTAATGATAGAGAAAGAGCATCCAGTTAATGGAATACTTAGTTGCGTGAAGATTAGAGCTGGTACATTACTTCTGTTGTGTAATGCTTTAAGTTTATTGTTATTTTTTGGGTACTAATATTTTCCATGGAGTTGTTTTCACATTTTAATACTAAGCTCATTTGGCATATTCAAAAATAAGAGAAATATCTTAGATGGTAGTGAACGCAGTTCATTGTGGAAGAACATGACTGTTCGTTTGAAAAAGATAGAACAATAGGCATATACTTCTTGCTAAACCTGTATTGGGCTATATGTGGAAAACTAGTTTGTACTGTTGCCAAGCTAATTGCATGTTTTTGTATGTCAGTATGCAAAAACAAAACAAAAACCTCCAAATACTAAATAAGTAGCATATTGACGTTTCCTCTCAAGGTTTATTAAGATAATTACTGACTCTGTGAATTAATACTTAATTTGGCAATACAATTGCAAATTGCTAAAGCTTGTTGGGAAAGAGATATGTAAGTTGAGTCCTGTTAATTTGCATCCTGATAGAATAACTATTGATAAATAGTAAGTTTTTCCTTTGGGATGTTAGTGCAGGTAAATGTCTGTCAGTATTTTGTTAAGAGTAAGTGAAGTGTTTCTGTTGCGTGTGTGTTTTTAAAAAGTGTAATTTCAGTGTACTTTTGGGAGAGCCTTATATTTGGGAAAATAAAACCAGGAACAGCAATTGTATTTCATCTTGACTGAACTGATAACGTCAGCCTAGGTTTGTTGGGGTTGCAGTGTTGCAATGAATTTATTAAAGCTCTTGACCAGATGACAGGAAGATGCTTCTGAATTAAAGTATGCTTACTTCCCTGAAGGGTATTTTGATGGATTGGGGCAAAGAAACAACAGTGGATGATTTCTCATATTTTGGAAGTGTAGACAGATTCTGGCAACAATTATTCACCCTCTGCTAACTTCTTGTTTGGATTACTGCAGTGTGCATGGTGTTACCTTTGAAGATGGTTCAGAAACTTCTGTTAATTCAAAACAGACCTGCTAGGTTATTAACTAGAACTACCTAATGTGATCATGTGGTACCAGTGCATCATCAGCTGCCGATTTTCAGTCCATTTCCAAGCATTATTCGAAGTGTTGCTGTTGAAATTTTATCCCTAAACAGCTTGGGAATATTTAAAGGAGTACCTCCTCCCATATGTACCTTTACTGGTCAAACCCACATGTCATCTTTGGAAGCCCTTTTCTAGGAACCCTGTCAAAGAAAGCTAGGTGGTTGTCTACAAATGAGAAGGCCTTTCTAGTGATAATCATTCTGCTTTTAAACTGTTCTCCCCTAAGAGGTTCAGCTGAGCAGCCCATACTGTTACCTTTTCAGTGCTAGGCAAAGAACTTTTGTTTTCTCCCAGGCATTTTGGAGACTTGATTCTAGATTTTTATGGCTGTTATGTTTATTCCCATGCTGTAGCGATTGCATTATTTTAAACACATATATTTTAACTATTTCTATGCATGTTTGTCTTTTGTTATTGTTATGTGCCATCAAATCATCTCTGACTTACGGTGACTCCATGAATGAAAGCCCTCCAAAATGTGCTGTCCACAACACCCCTGCTCAGCTATTCCAAATTTAAGTGTGTAGCTTCCCTAATGAAGTCAATACATCTCATGTTTGATATTCCCATTTTGGTTCCGGCTTCAACTTTCTCTAGCATGATTGTCTTCATGTGATATGTCTGAAGTATGACAGCCTCAGCTTTGTCATTTTGCTTATAGGGAGAGCTCTGGCATGATTTGATCAAGGACCCACATGTTGGTCTTTCTGTCAGTCCAGGATATTTGCAAAGCTCTCCTCTAGCACTGTGTTTCCAATGCTTCATTTTTCTCCCTGCCAGCTTTCTGCACTGTCCAACTTACACACCCATTTATTGTGATTGGGATGCAGTAGTATGGATGATCTTGGCCTTGATCATCAGTGAAACATCCTTACATGGATGAGTTTTTCTAGTTCCTTCATTGTTCCCCTTCCAATCTGTCTTCCTCAAACCTGCAGTTTCCTTATAGTTGATGACTGAGCCAATGTATGGGAAATCTTTTACAATTTTGATTTCTTCATTATTAGCAGTAAAGTTCTGTAATTCTTCTGTGGTCATAATTTTTGTTTTCTTAATACCCAACTGCAGTCCCACTTTTGCACTTTCTTCTTTCACTTTCAGAAGTCATTTCAAGTCATTGCTGCTGTCTGCCAGTAGTATGGTATCATCTGCATATCTTAAATTATTGATGCATCTTTTGCCAATATTCACTCCTTCATCTTGATTCTAATCCAGCTTTTCTTACTATATGTTCTGCATGCAGATTGAACAGATAAGGAGGTAAAATATATCCTTGACTGATGCCTTTGCCTGTGGGAAATCAATCTTTCTCCATATTTTGTCCTAACAGTGACTTCTTGTCTGTGATGCAGGTTATAGATCAGGACAATCAAGTGCTGTCGTGAGGCACACCCATTTCTTTCAGATCTCTCTATAGCTTTTCATGCTTCCCACAGTAGCAGGCTTTGTTGTAGTCTGTATAGACTGAATTTTTTTGATGTGCTTCAGTAGCCAACTTATATTTGCAATATGATTTCTAGTGCCTCTTACTTTGTGGAATCTAGCTTGAACGTCAGACATTTCTTGATTCATATAGGGTACTATTCTTTGTTGCAACACTTTGAGTATCATTTGGCTTGTGTGGAAAATTAATATAATGTTCCTATGGTTGCTGCACTCTTTTGCATCTCTTTTCTTGGGGATTGGAATTTATATTGAACATATCCATCTGCGGGTAGTTGTTTTGTTTTTCATATTTGTTGGCGTATTCATGTTAGGAGGTGGACTGATTCACTTTCTGAAGTTTGGAATAGTTCTATTGGTATCCTATCTACTCCAGGTACTTTATACTATCTAAGTGCTTCCAATGCAGCTTTCACTTTGCTTTCTAACACTAGAGACTTTTCTTCATAGGATTCTTCTTCAAAGAAGTTTTTCATCCATTAATCTCTTCTCTATAGTTCTTCTAACCATCCTTCACTTTATTTTCTCCTTGTCAGATAGTATGTTCCTTTATTTTCCCAATTAGATTTCTGCAATGGGCTCTTACGTGGGGCTGCCCTTGAAGATGTCTGGATACTTCAGTTGGTGCAGAATAGAGCTGCCAGGCTGCTAATGGGGACTGGGCATTGTTCTCATATAACCCCAGTTCTCTGTCAGCTCCACTGGCTCCCGATTGAAGTCCAGGCCCAATTCAGGGTATTGGTTATGACCTATAAAGCCCTCAACGGCTTGGGTCCTGGGTATCTAAAAGAATGCTTGCGTCCATTTGTGCCCTCCCGCCCCTTGAGATCAGCAACAGATGCCCTTCTCCGGGAACCCTCTGTGAATGATATTAGTAGGGTGAGTACCCGGAGGAGGGCTTTCTCTGCAGTGGCGCCCCATCTATGGAATGCGCTCCCCAGAGAGGTCCGCCTGGTGCCATCGTTATTTGTTTTTTGGTGCCAGGCTAAGACCTTTTTATTTAAAACTTATTTTAATTGTTAATTTATTGGTTATTTATAGGATTTTAAATCTTTTAAGCCGAGATGCACCGGGTTTTAATATTTTTATTGTACAATTTGTTATGTTTTGTTCTTGTTGTGAGCTGCCCCAAGGCATAAAAATGTTTTAAATAAATAAATGTGTGCAGCATTGGACTTTACTTTCACAACTGGACATATTCCACTAGACTTCCTTTCAGTTTTGATTTAGTTGCATCATTAGCGACTGTGCAGTTTTTTCTTGTCTTTGCTCCTTCCCAGTAGTCTTTTGAGTCCTTCCAACCTGCCAGTCTCATTTTCTGGCACTATCTCATTTCATTTTGGTTTGTTTCATCATGGGGTTTTCAAGGCAAAAAAAAAAAAGCAGAAGTGGTTTACGTTTGTTTCCTTCTGCACAATACTAACCAGAGTTAGCTTGAGTGTCACTGCTGCTGACTGTCAAAGATCCTCTGCCAGTGTCACCTTTGGCTACCACTATTGTCCACTAGCTGCCTTTCAGAAGTTTCTCTGCCCCTTCATCCTTCGGTATATCCATTCTCTTCTACTGATGTGACCATTCCTCCTGAAGAGGGTGGATCCATCTTAATCTGGTGTCTCGGCCTTGACCATTCCACCTTGTGTGACCCTGCTAGGAGACAAGCCCAGGGAGGCAGTCTGGATTCCTGGCAGCAGTAGTCTCAGCTTTATTGAAATACTCAGTTCCCCTCACCATATTAAGATGTACATCCCAGGGGATGATTTTTGTCTTTTGATTGCTTGTAATCCACTCAGAGAATATCAGCTATTGAGTGGGCAAAAATGTATTGAAGAAAAATGTGGTAGTCTTTAAATTAGCAAAGCTATAGTAAATCATACTGTAAAAGAGAATTGATAGAATCCAAATTTGGCCATAATACTTAGAAGGTTAGATCGAACTTAGTTTAAACTAAAGTTTAACTTCAGAGTTAACTTGGGGTGCGGGGGAGGCTTACATGTCTTCTAACCACTAGGTAATGTTACCAAATTACATTGCATTGACTCTTTGCCACTTGTGCATGGAGACTTTAAGTGCTTGATTACTATTTTGTCATAATTTAGTTGGTTCTAAGTAAGGTATTGACCTGTTGTAATTTTTGAAAATAGGGTTGAGGTAACTATATAGCAAAGACTGTTGACCGAGTATGTACATTCTGGAGGCTGAGCAGGAATTAGTATGAGCATCTTGATTATTTCAGAATATAATTTAGTATGTAAATCAGTTGACTAGATGGCTAAAAATTTAAGCCTCCATATGGAAACGTTTCTCGACACATGCTGTAACTTCAGTAGTACATGATCACTGCAGAACTCCAATTCTATTGCATTTTTTAAAAGATGTCCATATTGTCCTTCATCAGTATTTTAAAACAGTATCTATTTATTTATCTATTGCATTTGTATGCTGCCCCATAGCCAAAGGCTCTCTGGATGGCTCACTGTGCAATATAATATACAAATAAAAATAAAAACAATAGTGAACCAAAACCATAAACAAATGGGATTGAAATACAATGTAAATACAACAAATACATAAAGCAGGAGGAAATAAACACAATAAACCAATAACAACAGCCAATAAAACAATAAACAGTAAGCCAGCAGCAAACCAGCAGCAGTATGCAATCTTATATGACAAAAATCATAAATTAGCAGTTCCTTAACAGTTAAAAAGTGTGTGACAAAAATGCCTGGGTGAATAGACAAGTTTTGCTTAATGCTGAAAAATATTGAAAAGTTGGTGGTTTGGAAAGCTGCTTTGAGGAGAATATTTCATACTCAATGCACCAGAAAGCCCATCACCTAATATATTTCCAATAAAGGACACACCTGATCAAAGGTGTCGCCAAAACATCTTAAGACGTAGACAGGTTGATAATAAAAAAAGTGCTTCATTAGGTATTTTGGACCCAACCTGTTTAAACCTTAAAGTAAATGCCAACATCTTGAAGCAAAGTCTATGAAGGGTTCTCTCCCTCCCCCCCCCCCACTTGGATGTCATGGAGAAATAAAGTTGGATACCTCACATCTTGCTGACGCCTTTTACTCAAGTTTTTTGTAGACAAGAGGGGAGATGACCCAACAATGAATTGATCAAATGACCACAGTGCTTTAAATTTATGTGTATATTAAAAATTGCCAAGGGAAGTCCAGTGCAGTAATATTTGACTTCAAGTTAAAGGTAAAGGTTTCCCCTTGACATTAAGTCCAGTCATGCCTGACTCTAGGGGCGGTGCTCATCTCCATTTCCTAGCCGAGGTTCTCTGCAGACAGTCTCCGTGGTCATGTGGCCGGCATGACTAAACACCGAAGTGCGTGGAACACTGTTACCTGCCCACCAAAGTGGTACCTTTTTACCTACTTGTATTTGCATGCTTTTGAAATGCAAGGTTGACAGGAGCTGGGACGGAGCAACGGGAACTCACCCTGTTGTGCAGATTCAAACCAGCGACCTTTCCATCTACCAGCCCAGCAGCACAGCGGTTTAAACTGTCCCTTCAAGTTAGGAAGCTTCTAAAAATGAAAGGATTGGTAAAAATGTTGAAGGAAAAATCAAGCATGTCATACATCTCCAGAATGATTAGATGTTGCTCAGAAGCACAGAAATAGAAATTCAGCTAGAATATGTATTTCCAGTCAAGAAAGATACCACTTAATACAATAGGCCATCAATATGAATAGCATGCATGGTCAATGAGGCTATTAAAAGGGGAAAGCAGGGAAGACAAATCTCAAAAAATGTAAGTTGTATCCCAGTGGTAACAAAATAATGAACCATAGGCACAAAAGAAATGTAGTAGATGCAAACAAGGATTTTGAGGAAAGTATCGCTAATAATAAGTCCAACAACTAAAAGAAACTTTAAATACATCAGAAACAGAAAATTGTTTAGGGAGGTCACTACTCCATTGGATAACAAGGATTATTACTAGAAGAAGATAAGTAAATTGCAGAGAAGCTGAACAAATTCTTAACTCAGAGAAATAGTGGTTATAAGATGAAGCACCAAGACTTTAACATCAATAGGTAACAAACTAATGGTATCTGGCTTAGAGTTGTTAAATTAATCAAATATGAAATCCTGTATCAGTTAGAAGATCAGCATTGTGTCCCTAAGTTCAGCTGCTATGCCAAATAACTGGATAGTGGCCAAAACTAATTCTTAAAAAGGGATTGGGAACGGAGGCCCAGGAAATTACAAACTGCTTAGCATGTGTTCTGGGTAAAATTGGTGAAAAATAAATTATCAAGTGACTAAAGGAACCAACAACCAATCAAGGAGATTTGTGCCTTTCTTTGCTTGGAAAAGGGAAAATTATTTTGGGAAGAGTATGATCTTTTTGAAAAATATATGTCTTTAAAGCATATTTATCCCACTATTCATATGACAGAACATTCAGAGTAGTTTATGTAAAAGGAATAAAAAACAAAACATGGTCTGTCTGTGGATTTAGACTATAAAAGACATTAGTCAAAAGGGGAAAGGGATGAGAGGAGAAGAAAAGCAAAAGTATTATTAAAAGTGCATCTTTTAATAATGAACTGGAGTGGAAGTGTTTGGAGGACGGATTTGAGGTTATTGATAAGAATCCAAAACCTTTATGGTGGCCCAGTTTAGATATAATATGAAACCATGGCTTAGTATTATGGGATGACAGTATTCAGGCATGCATGTTCCTACTTCTTCCTAGTATGGGGAGACTGAAAGCTTCCATTTTTGCTTTAAAACTATTTTTATTTATTACAGACATTTTTGTTACAAACATTTATATCCCGTCCTTCCAACAAGCACTCAGGATGGCTTACACAATAAACTAACCTCAGCTTTCTGTAATTTATTTATTTATTCAGGGGATTTATAGGCCGTCCATCACTGTCATCTCTGGACAGCTTACAGTATAATATAAATCCTTAACAAAATAAATTGGCTATACCACAACTGAATATAAAAATGACATGGTTAAAATAAGTTAAGTAAATAAATATACAATTAAAATTGATTAGTATTAAAATATTGGTCAAATGCCTGAATATGTGGAACTGCCACAGTTTCTACATATTGTTAGACAAACAGGATCATAGTTTGCTATCCCGGCTTAACTAATAGTAGTTTGACAAAGAATAGTTTTCCAAGTACACACATCACAGAGAGCTATTGTTGGTCTTAGAACATTTAATCCTTGTGTGTATGGTGGTAGGTGGTAGGAGTGTGCAAGTCCCAAGTTTGTGCAGGGTTGTCCCTGCACTGTTAAGCAATTATTTAGTGTTATGCATGAACCAGGCCAGTATTTTAGTGATAATAAATATAAGTGCTTTTGCAATTTGGAGCCATAGGCTGAGGCCTATAGTAAACAAAATTTTGTGAAATAATAGAATGAAACAAAACTTGACTGCACCTCAGTTGAGAAGTAATGCTGAATCAAGGATTGATGCAACAAGAGCAAGCTTTAAAGAAGGCCTGGCTCACACATTTCCTGGTCAAACTTGGTTTACAATCTCTTGTTGCAGAAAGAATAAAGCAATAACTTGCTGATTAACATGCAGTATTAAATGCAACTGCTGAAAACTGTGAAGCAAGTCAGTATTATGAGTACATTAGCCCATATGCACGTGATTTGGCATTGTATCCGAACACAGCTGTGTTAGTGAAGTGCCTTAATATTATGCTAGTGTGAGTCTAGGGGAAAATGTTCAAATTAAAAAGCTAGCTATCTTTCCTTGATGCATTTACTTATTTAAAATGCTGAGTTTATTAGTATGATATGCCAGAGACATAATGACTTCAGGATTCAAATATTTGATTTTCAGCTTGGTGTAACCACCTAACCAGCAATACTGATACAGTTAAATTCATATTTGCATTTTGTCACAGTTTGTCAGCTGCATTGGTCAATATTTTTCATTAAGCTTATAGTTTAACTTTTTATTTTGAAATTTCTTTTGAATAAATATGCCCTTGAAAATAAACAGTAATTTTATGCTAATTTGTGTTGGGTTAGATCTAAAAAAAATCACTTCCAATGGAAAGTGAGAACCATGAGAAGATCCTTGCTGGATCAGATCAACCTAATCTGTTTCCCAAAGTGTAGCCAACCAGTTGCTTATAGGAAACCCACAATGGGATCTAAGAAGAATATCCCCCTTCCTACTGTTGTTTCCCAGTGAATGGTACAGACAGTCCCCAGGTTACAGACAAGTTCTGTTCCTGAGAAAACAGAAATTCATGAAAATTTGTAAGTCAAATCTTGTATAGTTGGTCCTCCACATTCATGGGGGTTAGGGGCACAGGACCCCATGAAAGTGGAAAACTGCAAATATCTCTACCCCTCCCAAACTCACCAGGGCCTCCTGTTTGCAGCAAGGAAATGCTGGAGAGATTTCCCTCTCTGGATGGGCAGAGCAAGAAAGCATGCTTTGGAGGCCTCCTTCTCCCCTTTCACTTTCTGTCTATGGTGGTGATGATTTCCCACAATAACTGTTTTAGCATTAATATGGCAGTTTGTTTGTTAGTACGGGTTGTTCCTAACTCCAGGACTGCCTGTATTCTGAAGCATGCTGTCTCTGAGGTAGAATATAGATATCATGGCTTACTATCAGTGGCTTTTTCCTGTCTGATTCTTTAAATATATTTTTAAAGCTAACTTGGTGGCAATCACCTCATCTTGTATGAGTTTATTCCACAGCTGAACTGTGTACTGTGTGAAGGGATTCTTCTTTTTATCTGTCCTCGGTTTCCCACTATTAGGTTGCATTGCATGATCAGGTTCTAGTGTTTATTGTATGAGGAAGACAAAGAAACTTCTTCCTATCCCCATGTTCTACATAATGCATGCATTTATAAATCTTTATCATGTCCTCACTTCACCATTTTTCTAAAGAGCCCTAAATGTTTGTAAACTACTTTTCACACAGGGGAGTTGCTCTAAACCAATTCATCCAGTTTAGAGAGTGCTGTAAAACATTTGATCAGTAGTGATTATCCAGGTCATATAGTACAAATCTGCTTGTGACGACTATAAATAAAGCTTTGTAAGTTTGGCAGTGAAGAGCAGTGTGTGTCATATATTTAGAAACATTTGCTTCCATGTACAACCTAAAACTAGTGTTACTATACTGAACTACAGTCTAAATGAATCTCGGGCCTTAAGAGTTTGTTCCTTTACAAATTCATGACTACTCTGTTTTACTTCCTGTTAGCATTTTGATGTCATTTTGAATTTCTCATCTCTCTGTTCTTGTGTATGTTTGTGCAAGTGCTGTTCATCTCCTTGATTGTGCCTGAATTGTCATCAGTGGCACAATACTTGAGTTAATTCTTGTAGACCATGCACTGTGCAGCAACAGCTCAGACATCCCCTGCTGCAACCATCAATCTCTGAACTAGAAAAGTGGGGGGGGGGGGTCAAGAAAGAAGTACATAGTATATGAATGACTGTTAGAGCTGATGGGTTATGATGTTGTAAGATCATACCTAAAAGTATAGTAGTAACAATTGAGACTTGTTTATAGCTATTTTTCTCTACTTTTGTAATGCTGGCATAATGTAAAGACAGCATTTTGGGTTCATTAAGCAACAATTGGACATAATGATGATACTCCAGGGTATCTCCTCTATTAACAAGGTGGATAACTTGGGCTCAAGGGATCATATAAAGAAGCTCAAATTGTCCTGAAGAAGTAACTCCGTAGTATTCAGTGTCAGACTGACTTGTTATAATTGAAGGTTACATTCATAACTCAAATGAATAAAACGTTTTGACATTGCCAGGCTGGGGTTTGCCTGGATCCAAGATGTTTTTGCTGTGCTAGATTTGGCACTATCCCTTTGAGCCTTTTTAATATAGGTGCACTACTGTCTTGTAGTAGGCTGCTAGGCTCTTCCATGCAATATCATTATGGAGAAGGTAGATCTGATCTTTTGTTAGATTGCTGAATGACTTCCTGTAGATTTGTAGGTGTCATAAGGAAGTAATCACAGTGTAGGATTTATGGAATGTAGTAGGTAACTGGATCTGCAACATGACTGACCACCATTTTGTACTTGACTCTGGTTGGCAGACCTTAGGATCTTAATTAAAACCCCAGAGTAGATTCCATGAAACCTGCCCACAGTTGCCATACAAAATACTAGTGTCTATATTTACCACTCCTCCCACTTCAATCTTGGTGCTTCTCAGCCTGCACAGCTGTTTTACAAATTTAAAGAGGAAGAACACAATTCTCTTCCCCATTCCTATCCCAGTTAATCATATCTCAGTTTATGCATTCATGTTCTTATGGTGCAAAGTGTAGTCCTGATGATGGACAATTAAAATGAATTTTCAGCTGCACTGGTTGTTCCAAGATGAATTTGAGGATATAGCTTGTGTAGATATGCTATTAGCTTTCATATTCTGTGGTCTTATGGCAAAATGCACATGCATTTCTAGAAAGGTTCCATGAACAAAGCAATTGCGAATGTGTTTTCAGACCTTTCCTGCAAAATCCCTGTGGATTTCTCACTTGTTAGATTAGAATGTTTTCCATGTATATTCTCTGCTGGGAAGAATATCTTTTGGATTTGGCCCAAAAGATACCAAGCCAATAAAAAAAACAAAACCTTGAATAGAATTCATTTGCAAGATTGCTAGGAAGCTGCTGTCCATCGCTATCGATGGGGATAATGTGATTTGTTTATTTTTGGACACCTTCCTATTTTTAGTTTTAAAGACTTGGAAATTGAGAACACACATCTGCTGTGATGCTGTAGCTGTTACAAAATATAGTAGAAATCCTAGCCAAACAACTGTCTCTGTAAAATATAAAATTTGGACCTGCAGTGAGAAATGCATGAATGATATGGGCCTTCACTTGGAATGTATGGATTAACATATTTTGTTTGGCATTCTATTTCAAAAAGAATACTGACTTCCCTTTTTTGTAACCTGCACATCTAAATACAAGCTGAGCTGTGGTGCTCTCTGCTTCCTAGATTTGAGACAAGCATGGCAGGGCAGCCTGTGACGTAGCTTGGTTTCCATGGTAGTGACTTGATGTTATGTAAGGAAGTGGCATGTATACTGCCTGGTTGTCATGGTTCTGAGAATCCTGTTGAAACAGCTTTTTCCCAATCTCTGTTTCAGTAGCATTTGAAGATACATAGGTGCTGACCAAGAACAATTGAAATAACAAACAGGATCCTTCACTCCTATTTTTGTCACAGTTGCAAATTATGCAGCCTGTTAGTCCTGAAGAACTCAGTCCTATTTAAAAGGCAGAATTATTTTTAAAATCACTGACTTTTCTGGTTTGCCTTCAGCTATCATTCAGATCCTCTCCCTAAAATACCTCACACAATGCAGAGTTCTTATGAAGATATGCTGCCAGATCATTTACATATGGCAGCGACAAATCTAAAAACATAAACATACATAATGAGAGATACTCCTGCCCCACAGAAACTTTCTCATCAGTCCTGATTTTAGGCTTGATGACTATCAAGAAGGATTTTGACAAAATTGTGCATTTTTCCCATTTTTTCTTTTTGCCTGCACAAATTAATAGTTTGGCATTGTGAGCATTTTCAAAGTGTTAAATAAATAGTAGTTTAATTGCCTGTAATGCTTCAGTAACTTAATACATCTCCATCATTCCTCATATGAACCAACAGATTAGAAAAGAAGTTAGTGTGTTGCAGAATACAATACAATATACACACGTACACAGAAAAGGTTACATTCTAGTCCTTGGAGCAGTAGATATGAGTTTGATCTTCAAACTTTGTTTTAATTTTTTTTAGCTAACAAGAAGTTAGCCCCTTGAGATCGGCGGGGGAGGCCCTTCTCCGGGAATCCTCCGTGAAAGAAATTAGGAGGGTGGGTACTTGGAGGAGGGCTTTCTCTGCGGTGGCGCCTAAGTTATGGAACGCGCTCCCCAGAGAGGTCCGCCTGGCGCCGTCGTTATTTGTATTTCGGCGCCAGGCAAAGACCTTTTTATTCAAGTGGCATTTTAACTGTTAATATTATTGGATTTTATCTGGCCAGGGCGGCTTATTTTATACTGTATTTTTGTATTTTTAATTTAATGTTTATATTCTTGATTTATATTATAATTATTTTAACTTATTGTTGTAAGCCGCCCTGAGGCTTCGGCGAATGGGGCGGCATAAAAATGTTTTAATAAATAAATAATAAATAAATAAATAAAAAGTTGCAGGATTGTCTAGCGTAGTCTTGTCTGTTTGGACTAGCAACGGCTTTCCAAAGTCTGGCAGATTAACTTGATGGCAGGAATCCTTTTAACTGAAAGTTGATTCTGCTGCTTTTGAAGAGAAAGACATATTAAATCTTCCTATATAACAAGACAACAATGTCAGTAGCTCCACAATTCTGAATAATTAAAACAGTGATTCAGATTAACTTAGAGTAAAATTTAAGGTTCAGGGCTTTTTTTTTCCTTCCAGATATCTGGAGCTTGGGAGTTATCCTTTACATGTTGGTATGTGGACAACCGCCTTTCCAAGAAGCAAATGACAGTGAAACCTTGACCATGATAATGGACTGTAAATACACGGTGCCATCTCGTGTGTCCAAAGAATGTAAAGAGTAAGTAAAATTATTCTACAGAATACCTTACAATTAAAATCATAATGTTAACAGTTTAGTGAAGAACCAGTGTGGTATAGTGGTTAGGACAGGGGAAATCCCAGTTCAGATATTCACTCAGCTATGTAACTCGTTGTCCCTGTTCACATGTAACAGTGGCAACTTGTGTGTTAATTAATTAACCCAGAATTTTCTGGGTTTCATTTTGCATTAAGGTTGCTTCTGCTTTGCATACAAAGCCTAAGAAATAACTGTAGGTTAACTTTGGGTCATTATCACATGTAAACATGCCCTATGGGTTTTTCATGGAACACTTACCCTCCCTGGCATAGGCTGTCAAAATTCTTGATCAAGTTAAAAAGAGGTTTGAGTAGGAATTAGGGGGTTTGAACTGGGACACACAGAGACATCTGTCCCTGTCCAAAACCCATTTCTTTCTCACCTCCCCTGCTTTTCAGAGGGAACCAAAGTTTTGATTTGGTTTTGATTTGACAAATAGCCAATTTGTCCAAAAATGCTTTCCCATGAAAAAGTGGAAGGAGTACTCATTTGCACCTAGAGGCACAGGATAAAGTGCAAACTGTATCCTGATAGACTAAAGGTGGAGGAGGCTGGAATAGAGGAGGAGGATCTTGCTGCAAAGTAGAAGTAAATCAACACAAAATAAATATCGTTTGCTTCAAAGGATTTTTTATCACCCTTTACAGCCAGTTCCTCATCTTTTTTTCCTCCCGCCCTGCAGCTTTAGTTCCATCAATGTGTATACTTTCTCCAGGATGTTTAGGTGCTCAAGAAAGTGCAACAGTACATCCTCCCCCTGGAGATAAAAGTGCATCTTGAGGGAAAAAGAAAAATGGCCTCTTGGTCCTTGATAAAAGGGAGTTTAGGTGCTTGGGATAAAGTGCAAAATGTGTACCCAGGGACCATATGGCAAGCTTGACAAAGGATTTTGCCATGGGGCTGAATACCCAATTCCTTATAATGGGTTCCCTTATTCAGACAATAGAACAACCTTTCATGGATACAGCAGGCCATGGATTACCCATGCATAAACCACTCTGTACCCACAGTGAGGATATTTCTGCAAATTTGCATAACATAACATGGGTAGCATAGTGTCCACATTCACATATCACAGGTATACCAGCTTCCACTTAAAACCAAATTGCATGTTGGTGCAGCAATTTCCCTTCAGCTTAGGGGATGGTATCCCTTGGATTTCTGTCCAGATATTAAAAGGGGCATTGTGAGGAGAAAATTCCAGAAATATGGTCAAATCTAGGTTATTTTTGGCTGAGGAATTAGTTAGAATGTTTGGAAAAAGCAGCTTTGAGCTAATGTAATATTGTTCATATACTTATAGAACTGTATCTTTGCTCCTAGTTTGATTACACGAATGTTGCAAAGAGACCCAAAACGAAGGGCATCTTTGGAAGAAATTGAAACCCATCCCTGGCTACAAGGAGTTGATCCATCGCCTGCCACAAAATACAATATTCCTCTAGTTTCATACAAAAATCTTTCAGAGGAAGAACACAACAGCATAATACAGCGAATGGTTCTGGGTGATATTGCAGATCGAGATACCATAGTAGAGTAAGCTGCCATTTTATTTCATTTTATGTCGGTATTGCAGTGATTCCTCTGAATTCCAGATGCTGGAGGTATAAAATAGGGACTGCCTATTGCCTGCATGCTTTGTTTATAAGCTGACTGGTGATTGTTGAAAATAGAATGATGGATTAGAGTCTGGAGATGAGACACAAAAGTGGTGATTTTGTGGCCCTCCAGACAATGTTCCAGTGTCTCTTGTCACTGGCTATGCTGGTCAGCACTCATGGGATTCATAGGCCCAAAAGTTACCCAACCGTTCACTGGTGAGACATTAGCCTTATCAGTAAGGGTCTTCTACATAGTATATCAGAAGTAACTTTCACACAACTTTACATATTTTATTCTACTTTTCCACTTTTATCCGCTAGTGGCTGATAAAACAATACACTTAGTAACCAAATATTGGTGATTTGTTAGAAAGACGACCAAACCTAAAGGCTGTGACAATTCCTTTCTTACAGTGCATGGTTGAGTGGGAGGAACATGGAGGGGATGGTGCAGTAGATACAGGCCATAGAATGAGGTAACCTGTGTTATGTGACCTATCTTGTTCACTTTTGCTTTGTATCTTATGTTCTGTGATCTGGACAATGGGGTTAACTTATGGGGTATGTGTCAATTGCTGTCAAGAGGGTAAGTATTTCCACCATATGATGGTCTGGTTCCTTCTTAAATGTGAACTTGCTGTTTTAAAATGGTATCTGATTATAATCTATGCTGAATTTTAAGTATGTTTAGTTGTTAAATAGTGAAGGTCAGAGTACTATTGTTCATATTCTGTGTGACAAGACACTGAGTTAACAAGTTTAAGTTCTTCATTCACTCAGTTTAAACAGAAGTCTTTATTGATTAAGATGTCAGCTCTTATGCCTAATGATTGAGCAGATGTAACACATGTCAAGTAGTTTGGCTTGGTGCCTGTGTTAGCTGATGAGAAGCTTCAGGGCTAAGGCTAAACTTCCACTGAGCCCTTTAAGCAGCAGGAGCAGACTTATAAGAAACGCCAATTTTTATCCCTTTATACAGAAAATAGCTGCTGTTTGACTGGCTGGTATTTTTGCATGAAGAAATGGGCAGCGACTTTCTGACACAGAGGTCTGTGTTTTCGAAAGTAATCTGAAGTAGCATGAAGATATTTAAACCTCACAAAATTTTGTTGATTATTTTTTCTAATAATATTCCATTGGCCTTCAGTTTCATTCTGTTTGGTTAAAAGTAACAAGAGAACATGGTGTGTTCAGTATTTACATATTTAAAACAATAATGTAGCCTGTCCATGAGTTTTTGTCCCTTGCATTTTCCACAATGTGGTATTAGCTTAGCAGCAATCTTGCCAAAAGCTGAGTGAGGTGAAGGATAAGTGTGAGGAAGGGCTGTGCATGGTGAATGAGATTTTACTCCTCTCATCAAGTCAAATTCTTGGTAACATTCAATTCAGCAATGATAGGAACTCTCTCCTTGGGGCTGCCTCTCATTGCACTGAATGCCATAGGGAAACAATCCAACTCCCAGTAATTCTAGTCACGAGTGGATATGTGACTATACTATACACCAGAGGCTAAGCCTGACAGAAGAGAGAACGCTTTTGTAGATGGATGTTGACACAAAAGTGAAGTATAGTGTTATCTGACAGTTACAAAAAGGTTATTGAAGCATAGACTCACATTCAATAAGTGACTGTGATCCAGGAAAATCTACTCAGCCTTTGAATGCATTCCTTAATATATCCTAGTGTGATTATTGAACTTGCCACATTAGGTTGCCCAGTTCTTAGTAAGCTAAAAGCTATTTGTCAAGATGTCAAAAGCACTAATTTCTACTTCCAGGAACTTCTGTATTTGCTTTCAGGAGCATTGTAAGTTGTGTTGGCTACATGTCCAGTTTCAAAAAACCACTGATGTATGATGTGTTCCATTTTCATTTTATTTCCCTTAGGGCTCTGGAAACCAACAAATACAATCACATCACTGCTACCTACTTCTTACTAGCAGAGCGAATTTTAAGAGAGAAACAAGAGAAAGAAATACAAACCAGATCAGCAAGCCCAAGCAATATCAAAGCGCAATTTAGGTGAGCATTAAATATACTGAAATCACAGTGAATTTAATCATTTTTCTTAATTAAAGGGACCGAAGACCTTTTTTGCAGGGGGGATGCCTTTAAATCACAGATGCACAACTTACAGCCCAGGAGCTACATGTGGCCTCCCAAGGCCTTAATTGTGGCCTCAAAGAGCTCCCTGCCTTTTCCCACACATCCATTGTATAGTTGTAATTGATAGCCTTCTCTCCATTTCCCCAGCCATCCTGATACAGATCACTCTTTCCTCACTGGTACCTGGAGAGGATAGCACAGACTGCTTCAGACTTTATACTCTTGCAGAGTCTACTCTATTCCAAGGTTAGAGAAAAGTTAGAATTTTTCAACACCATAAGAGAGTGGGTTAGATCTTGAAGTCACTGATTACTCTTCCCCTGGATACATTGTGGGAAATGTAGAGTTCCATTCTTCCCTCTTTGCTATACCCACTGCATCTCTGTTCAAACCAGGTTTGCATGTTGATATCTTGCAGGTGAGATCTTCACCTGCAAAGGTTTTTTCTCTCCTGCAGATCAGAGTAGCCTCATATAAGACTACTCCTAGATTCATTGGCAGGATTTGAGATACTTTGTTATCTGTACTACCTTATCTACCTTGATTGGCTGGTTCACATAGTAGAATATGTCGTGGAATAATTGTCAGGAATTCATGTAAAAAACCCTGTTGGTGGCTGTATTAAACTTTTATCTTTTAATAAAAAGCATTCCTTCTTGTAGAAAGTGCAGCTCAAGATATGTGAATCATGAGATACAGAACTTCCGTTTGGTGCCCTTAACTTTTTTTAAACTACAGGATAAGAGAAATTACAAATTCAGCCATCTAAAAGGACAAGATACACAGGTGTTTTTATATTAGAAACCTTAAGGTTATGATTGCTCAGCTAGCATGAGATGCCGAGCCATGTGGTGACGGCATATAAAAGTTTTAAATAAATAAATAAAAATAGATAGATATATAGCATGCCTGCTAATACTGTAGCATGTAGCTGACTATATAGAATCAAACTACTGGCCTCTCTAATCAAAACTCTGATGGCGATTTTGAGATGCAAAAAGGGAAGGCAAAGAGATACTAAAAACTTTAGCTGTTAATAATGAGCTTACCTTGAAGACTTCAAAAATACTGTGCAGTACAGAAACACCCAAGCTGAACTATAATAAAAAAGCAAAGAGAGAAAGAAAGAAAGCATGAAGACTTTTGTCCCCTGAAAAAGCAGGGGGCAATTAGAAAAAATAAAATAAATTGTCCTAGGAAGTCTTACATTTTTGTATTTAATTTCAGAGACAGAATAGTTAAAGAAGTTGAAAGGCATAATTAGGAGGGTGCCTTAAAGGATGGAGGCTATTTAAAACCACTATAATAGAGGCTAAAATAAGATGTACACTATAAAATAGAATAAGGCAAACAAGCCTAGGAAGAAGTCAGTGGTTAAACTCCATCAAGGAGACTATAAAAGCACATTTAAGAAATAGAAATTTTGCTGCAATGAGTTCAGTCTTTTCAAAAGTGGCAGTAGTGAGAGCATGGAACAACTTTGTGCAGAGGGCAGGATAACCATTTCCCACCAAACATCACTGAGCCTTAATGGTGGTTGCTCCAATTAAAACAAAGCAAAACAAAACAGATAGTTTAAAAAAAATCAGGTAAATTGCTTTTAAGATTTCCAGCCGCAATATTGTGTAAGGGAAGTGTTAACACAAACTCCTGGCAATTCCAGTATGTTTTGGGGAGCACGGCATAGCTGCTCTTTGAAAAGAAAGATATGTGTTCAGTCCCAGTCAAAAGTTGCATCTAGTGTGACCTCAAGGCTGCATAGACACACTTTCAGAAAAAAAAATGGAAAGTTATATTAAGATGATAACAATAGATTAAACTATTGGTTTTTAAGTTTAAAAAATGCATTAGAAGCAGGAAATCAAATGAAAGTGTCATTGGCCCATTCATTGTCAAAAAGGAATGCTGAAGAAGGGTGACGAACTTGTATCCAAACTAAAAATCACACATAATAAATTTAATTTCTGATTGCTACAACCAGAGAGTGAAACTTGGACTTCAAACATACTTCTCCACAAGCATTTTTGTTGTTGCTGTTGTTAGTCACGAAGACGTGTCCAACCCATTGCGACCCCATGGACAACATTCCTCCAGGCCTTCCTGTCCTCCACCATCCTCCGGAGTCCACCTAAGCTCACGCCAACTGCTTCAGTGACTCCATCTTGCCACCTCATCCTCTGCCGCCCCCTTCTTTTACTGTCAATTGTTCCCAGCATTAGGGTCTTCTCCAGGGAGTCTTTCCTTCTCATTAGGTGGCCAAAGTATTTGAGATTCATCTTCAGTATCTGGCCTTCGAAAGAGCAGTCAGGGTTGATCTCTAGGACTGACTGGTTTGATCACCTTGCAGTTCAAGGGACTTGCAGGAATCTCCTCCAGCACCACAATTCAGAGGGCTCAGTTCAGCCTTCCTTATGGTTCAACTTTCACAGCCATACATTGCAACTGGGAAAACCATATCCTTGACTATACACATTTTTGTTGGCAGCGTGATGTCTCTGCTTTTTAGTATGCTGTCTAGATTTGCCACAGCTTTCTTCCTCAGGAGCAACTGTCTTTTAATTTCTTGGCTGCAGTCCCTATCTGCAGTGATCTTGGAGCCCAGGCAAATAAAATCTGTCACTACCTCCATTTCTTCCCCATCTATTTTCCAGGAAGTGATAGGACCAGATGCCATGATCTTAGTTTTCTTAATGTTGAGTTTCAAGCCAACTCTTGCGCTCTCCTCCTTCACCTGCATCAAGAGGCTCTTTAGTTCCTCTTCACTTTCTGCCATTAGAGTGGTATCGTATGCACATCTGAGGTTGTTGATATTTCTTCCAGCAATCTTAATTCCAACTTGTGATTTATCTAGCCCTGCCTTTCTCATGATGTGCTCTGCATACAAGTTAAATAGGCCTTTAAAAGATTATTTGATATTGGAACTCTTTCAAACTACTCCAATTTGCTCTTGTTTCTTATTGGAGTGAAATGTGCTAAGGACATTATGTGATACCTACCATTCAGTTGTGTTAAGTGTTTTCTGAGTGCCAATTATTATTGCACCCACACCTTCCTCTACTTTTTTGATGCTCTTCTGACTTTTTTTCTCCTCTGGGACTCTATGCTGGGGCAAAAAATCCCAATTTCAAGTATAGGCTAATGGGACCTGAGCTAGTGGTGATTGATCAAGAAAGGGATCTTGCAATAGTGTTGGACAACACTTGATGAAAAAGTTGAGTCATTGTGCAGCTGCTGTGAAAAAGGCAACTCCATGTTAGGAATAATTAGTATAGGAATCAAAAATAAAACTGCCAAGAATTGTATTCTCCTTAGACAAATCTTTGGTGTGGCAGCACTTAGAATACTGTGTACAGTTTTGGTCACCACACTTGAAAAAGGATATTATTGAGCTGGAAAAAATGTAGAGAAGGGCACTGAAAAGGGGGTTGGAGCAACTCCTATGTGAGGAATGGTTGCAAGAATTTTAATTGTTTAGCTTAGAAAAAATCTGAGTAAAGAGAAACATGATATAGGTGTTTAAAACTATACACATAATGGAGAAAGTAGAGGAGGCATTTTTCTCCCTTTCCCTTAATACTAGAACTCAGGGTCATTCCATGAAGCTGATTGGTGGGAGATTCAAAACAGATTACTTCACATGGCTTAGGGAATTTATTTATTTATTTATTTATTAAAACATTTCTATGCCGCCCCATTCGCCGAAGCCTCGGGGCGGCTCACAACATAAAATTAAAATACAATACATACAACAAATTTACAATATAAAATAAGTTGCCCTGGCCAGATAAAATAAGCAAGTAATATTAACAATTAAAATGACGTTTAAATAAAAAGGTCTTCGCCTGGCACTGAAAAACAGATAACGACGGTGCCAGGCGGACCTCTCTGGGGAGCGCATTCCATAGACTGGGCGCCACCACAGAGAAAGCCCTCCTCCGAGTACCTACCCTCCTAATTTCTTTCACAGAGGGTTCCCAGAGAAGGGCCTCTCCCACAGATCTCAAGGGGCGGGCGGGCGTATATGGATGTAAGCGCTCCTTCAGGTAACCAGGACCCAAGCCATTTAGGGCTTTATAGGTCATCACCAACACCTTGAATTGGGCCCGGACTTCAATGGGAAGCCAGTGAATCTGACGGAGGACTGGAGTCATGTGAACATAACGCCCAGTCCCCGTCAGCAGCCAGGCAGCTCTATTTTGAACCAATTGAAGTATTCGGACCGTCTTCAAGGGTAGCCCCACGTAGAGCACGTTACAGAAGTCAAGGCGGGAAGTCACCAGCGCGTGTGTCACTGTCGCCAGGCAGTCGTACTCCAGGTAGGGGCACAGCTGATGAATCAGCTGAAGCTGAAGGAAAGTGCTCCTCGCCAATGCTGTCACCTGAGCTTCCAATGAAAGCTTTGGGTCGAGGAGCACTCCCAAGCTGCGGACCTTGTCCCTAAGAGGGAGTGCAACCCCATTCAGGACTAAGTTCAGTTCACCCTCTCCGAAGCCCGATCCGCCAACCAACAGGACCTCTGTCTTGTCTGGATTGAGCTTCAGTTTATTGGCCCTCATCCAGCCCATTACCTCGGCCAGGCACTGGTTCAGTACAGCCACTGCCTCACCTGGATTGGTGGAAAACGAGAGGTAGAGCTGGGTATCATCAGCGTACTGATGATTCCGCAGCCCACACCTCCTGATGACCTCTCCCAGCGGTTTCATGTAGATGTTAAACAGCAAAGGGGACAAAATGGACCCCTGCGGTACTCTATGGCATAGCTGCCATGGTGCAGAGCCATAGTCCCCCAGCACCACCTTGTGGAACCAGCTATTGAGATAGGAGCAGAACCACGGCAAAGCAGTGCCTCCGACCCCCAATCCTGCTAGCCTATCCAGAAGGATACCATGGTCGATGGTATCGAAAGCCGCTGAGAGGTCCAGGAGAACCAACAGGGACGCACTCCCCCTGTCCTTCTCCCTGCACAGGTCATCGTACAGGGCGACCAAGGCAGATTCAGTACCGTACCCGGGTCTGAAGCCGGACTGAAATGGGTCCAGATAATCAGTTTCATCCAAGAGTGCTTGGAGTTGTCCCGCCACCACCCGCTCCAACACCTTGCCCAGAAACGGGATGTTGGCCACTGGTCTATAATTAGTGGCCATCTCTGGATCCAGTGACGCTTTCTTCAGGACCGGTCGGACTACCGCCTCCTTTAAAGGGGCAGGCACCCGACCCTCCCTCAGAGAAGCGTTAACCACTTCCAAGATCCAGATCCCAATCCCGTGCTTGGAATTATTTATTAACCAAGACGGGCAAGGGTCCAGTAGGCAAGTGGTGGGACGTACTCGTCCAAGCACCTTGTCCACATCATCAGGCCGCAATAACTGAAATTCATCCAATTATTCTGGACCAGACGGCAGCACTGGTGTCTCCCCAGAAACCTCTGATTCACTAGTGGTGTCTAGCTCGTGACGAATCTGAGTGTTTTTCTCCCTGAACTTCATGGCAAAGTCGTCACAGCGGGCCTTTGAGGGAGGATCCAGATCTTTCTTAGGACCTGGACAAACCAGGCCTTGCACCACTCGAAAAAGCTCCGCTGGACGGCATTTTGAGGAGGCAATGGAAACGGAAAAAAACCTCTTTTTCGCTGCCCTCACCGCCACAGCATAGGCCTGATAATGGGCTCTCAAGTGTGTTCGGTCAGATTCATCCCGTGATCTCCTCCACCTACACTCTAGCCGTCTCCCAACCTGCTTCATCGCCCGCAATTCAGGTGTATACCAAGGGGAAGAGCAGGCTCTGCCTGGTGGGAGAGGACGCTTAGGAGCGATCATGTCCACAGCCCTGGTCATCTCCCCGTTCCACAGTTCGACCAGAGCCTTGACAGGAGCACCAGTCTTGTCAGCCGGAAACTCCCCCAGGGCCTTCAGGAATCCATCCGGATCCATCCGGCTCCGGGGGAGGACCCACACAATCGGGTCCGCACCCTTGCAGAGGGAGAGGTCGCTCTCAAGCACAAACCTCACCAGGAAGTGATCTGACCATGACAGGGGAGTCAAACATAAATTCCTCACCCTCAGACCACCCTCTTCCTGCCCCGTTGAGAATACCAGGTCCAGAGTGTGTCCACGTTCAGGGGTCGGGCCGGTGACATGTTGAGACAGCCCCATGGCCATCATGGAGGCCATGAAGTCCTGAGCTGCCCTGGTCAGACCAGTCTCGGCATGGACGTTGAAGTCCCCCAGGACCAACATCCTGGGGGTCCTCAACACCAGGTCCGAGACGGTCTCCGTCAGCTCAGGCAGGGAGTCTGATGGGCAGAAGGGTGCACGGTACACCAACAGAATCCCTAATCTGTCTCGGTCGCCCAACACCAAGTAGAGGCACTCCAGCCCTGGTCTCGAAGGGACCGGAAGTCCCGTGAGAGAGATGGAGGCTCGGTAAACCAAAGTGACCCCCCCCC